AGGCGCCCGTCTCTTTCAGCAAAGTCAAACTCACCAACAAGCTCAACGGCGGTGGGCAGGTAAGCACCGGGACCGGCACTGAGACCTGTACTGGGCCGCCCTCGCCCCGCTCAGCGAGGCTAGGCTGTTCTGTCCCTGCGAGGTGGTGGAGTCGGGCCGAGCTCTCCCTCGTGCTTGTTTTTATACCACTGTTATCAAGCATGCTGCCGTGGAGTGGGTCATACTTTTTTTTCCCTTCTTGCCCCACCCCTCAGGCATGCGTTCTTTCAGGCCAAGGATGGGTGCCTTGATATTTTTACTTTATTTTTAAACATGTCTCTATGGTCTGAATGTCTGATGATGCAAGTGGTGCAGTCCCTGCTTCCTTCTGGCCACCTAATGCCACGAGTTTGTGACTGTGCAAGCCACCCTGTCAAGTACCAGGAGTGAGGATAAGGAGGCAAAAAGTTGGGGTATCTGACTGCAGAGTTCCTTTCTTTCCCTTACAGCTTCAGCTTTAGTGTTTATCAGTACCTGTTGCCGCTTTCTCCTCTGCTGGAAAGACAGATCAGTAGTTACTCTAAAAGCTGAGTGCTTTCTGTGCTTGCCAACATCTGCCTTCTGCCTGTCACTGCTCACTTGCTCTCTCTGTTTGCTTGCAGATCATGTTGAACTCTCTACACAAGTATGAGCCAAGGATTCACATTGTGCGAGTGGGTGGCCCACAGCGGATGATCACCAGCCATTCCTTCCCGGAGACCCAGTTCATAGCTGTGACGGCCTACCAGAACGAGGAGGTATGCACAGCGGGGAAGGAAGGATGCAAGAACCAGGAGGTTTCAAGTGACAAAGTGCATGTTACAGAACAAAATAGTGGACCTTATTTCACGTTTTTCAGATCTTTCCATGCTTTGTTTGAATCTAAATATAAGAAAATGAAATTAATCTATGTAAAAGGCCTATGCACATATAACAACACAAAGTTCTGATCACTGTTTGTCTCAGTATGTACTTCGAATTTATTGCATGGGGTAATTCTTAAGAAATTTAGTGGGGCAAATAAGTATGGTAAGAAATAGTTGTCATTTTCAGTGAAACAGGGAAATAACTGGACATTCCATTTTAAAAATTGGCCTTTCTCTAATAGCCAAAATGCACATCTATGATGCATCTGTAAATTACCAATCTTTTTGAGACTTTTTTGTTGCCTATTATGCTTTGGCTTGAAACATGAATCTTTTTGTAACTCTTTAGTGTACTAACTTTCTCAGCTATTTCCTTAGCTGGTCAATAAACTGAAGGAATTCAGGCTCTTAGAATTTGATAGAGGGACTAATTCCTAGCCCTCTGCTAATACTTCAGGCCTTAAGGGCTGTTAAGTGGTGTCCATAGGTTGATATCACAGGCCTAATGTTATTTCTTCAAAAATTTGTGATTTCACTAACTTCAGTGGATAGTCCTAGTTCAAATCCTTGTATCTGTATGATAATGAATGGTGGTACTTGCAAATAAAGATATTTGTTGTTGTTTTTAGATCACAGCTTTAAAGATTAAATACAATCCATTTGCAAAGGCATTTCTTGATGCAAAAGAAAGGTGAGAGCTCTTGATTCTAAAGGGTGGATTTTTGATGTAGATTTGTAGAAGCAGATCCTGAATTAATACAACACCATTTCTTTTATAGAAGTGATCACAAAGACATGATGGAGGAAGTGGGAGACAACCAACAGTCTGGGTATTCGCAGTGTACGTTTCCTTTCATTCTGCGTCATGAACTTAACTTTAATTTCTTCCATCTCATCTGTTAAGCTAAGCAGAACGTTGAGATCGGTGTTTGCTGGCTGATTTGTTAGTTTATAGGGAGAATAATACTTCCAGTTCTTATGATCGTGGTTCATGCAGGTTTATGATTGTATAAATGTTATGATCTATGTGTGTGTGGTAAAGACACCTGTATTACATTCAAAATACCTTAACGGAACCTTGCAGTTACCTTCATGTCCAAAAAGACTGCTGCCTTTGTACACAAGGACAAGGATATTCATATGGATATGGAGACAAAGGTTTATTTCAAAATACAGCAGAAAACGATTGAAATGATACTTATGTTTTAAGTCCTTTAAGAAAATTAGAGGCATTTGCTTAAAAAGGGTGTTTTGGTTTTGGTTTTGGTTTTTTTTTTTTCAGATTAATAAAAAGCATTGCTGTTTTAATGATTTCTGTTTTAACAGATTATTGCCAAAAAATGCCTGCAGCCTATAGAGGGGGGAAGTTGAGTTGCAATAGGAATTATTTTGTTTCAGTGAAAATATTAAAATTTTAAGGGGTCTTCTTAGTGATCTAAAAATCCTCTGAGCTTGGCTATACATTGAACCCCCCAAACAGCAATTTAAAGCTGAAGATTACACTAACCATTACTGAACAAGGCCTGCCTACATAAGGGAGGATTTATCCATTTCAATATTTTCTTACTGTGGTTCTAATTAAACAGTAATTTAAAAATGTCTGCTTGATACAGGGCTTTCTAAAGCTGTTTTCTAATTTTCCTTCATAAGATCGTTTTAGAAAGTTGTAAAGATCTAGATTTTTTTGGCCATGTTGAAACCTCTTTTCCTTTTCTGAGTGTGCATTTCCTTGCTGATCAGTTATTTATCTCCTTGCTCTGTGATTCTCTCCCTGCCTGACTGCATCATGTAACCATCTGACAGCCCTCTTCCTTCCCCACAGTAGGCAGTTGGCTTATTCCTGGGACTGGGACTCTGTGCCCACCTGCCAATCCTCACCCTCAGTTCGGAGCCCCCCTGTCACTCTCCCCTGCTCACAGCTGTGAAAGGTATTCATCGCTGAGGAACCACCGTCCTGCCCCCTACCCCAACCCCTACACCCATAGAAACAACTCGCCAAGTAAGTCTGACGTTGCAGCTCTGTAAAAAAAAAAAAAATGAAAAAGATGGAAAATGAGCTGAGGGATGTGAGCTCTGAGCAGTGGGCGTCTCGAGTGATGCCACAAAAACTGAGGTGGCTCTCTAGCTCAGTTTGTGCAGAGAGCTTGGGACTAGCTCTGCAGAGATACGGGGATGATGAGTGAACGACCTCAGATTCTCAATGATGGAAAAACTGAGGGTGTGTAGAAGTGTCTCCTGCTAATTGGTTTAATTATATTGTGGGGGCTTTGTCTTGAGCTCCTGAATTCATGTAACCACTGAGCTTCAACTTATATTGACTTTTAAAAGGTTGTTTGAAAGTGAGGATTTTAATCATTAGTTATAGGTAATGCAATGAGATGAAGAAGTATACATCTGGTTCTGTTAATGTCACTTGTTCTTAAGACATAATAATTAAGGGCCCAAATCTGTCTGTTTGACTTGCCTCCTGCTGTAATTAACATCAGTGCATTAATGTTGTTCTCAATGAATGTGTCACAGCTTGGATACACAGAAACAATACAGAGCTCAGTAGACTGCAGAGTTATTTAAAATTTGTGCTCAGAAATAGCCAGGTAGCTTAAGGCTTTATGCCTTGAGCCATAGGTACTTAAGGGAGAGGAGAGAAGGACATTTTTAAACAGTGATTTTTTTTTAAATTTTTTTTTTCCTTCTGGTAAAGGCCCATTAACAGACTTTGCCTTTCAGCCTGTACAGATATCAAAGGTTCCCGTTTAAAAAAGTAATTAATATCTTCAATTGTGAAGTAATACACAGGCTTCCTGATGCAGCCTGGCCAATCTCGTATGTATCTTTGCACCTCATTTTGGAGTGAAAAACTGGCTTTCTGTGGACTTTTGTTGCATCTCGCAAATTTTGTGCAAGTTTTGCAACTCAAAACAAAATAGAAGAACAAAACACCTGTGGTGTCCCTTCTGGTTCCCCAGTCCTCAGCAAAAAACCTATTTTCTTTCCCTTAGTCAACTGCTAGCAAGTTCTTTCTGGCTCTGGATGGCTGTGTAGGGTTCCTCTTGTAGCTTCCTAGTGCCTCTGCCATGCTGGTCAGCCAGGTTTGGTCACGAACTTAATTCACTAGTTTGGTAGCTAACTTCATTTTTCTTTGTGCATATATGTGTAATTTTGTTTGGATTTGTGCAAGGCAGTAATGGGAGAGAGTGGTTTAAAACTGTACATTGCATCTGAATACAAGATTGTTCTTTGGTCTGATTTTAGCCTGTTTAAGCAGTTGATTGCTTTCTCAGCAGCCTATGCCGATAACTCCTCTGCCTGCCTTTCCATGCTGCAGTCCCATGACAACTGGTCTTCTCTAGGAGTTCCCACACACACGACGATGCTGCCTGTGAGTCACAGCACTGGCACAGCTACCAGCTCCAGGTAGGAGTACATCTCTCAATTCGGTGTATTGATACATTCTATGAAGAGAAGGCTGAGAAAGGAGGTAAAGAGTCATCAGCAAATCAGAAATCCTTATGGCTACGTATGAATCATTAGTTATATGGGGAGGTGCTGAGAATGACAATTCACAAGGAAAACAGGTTGAAGAAACAGATAAAAAATATTTAGTTTTTATGTTTTGGGTTTGAAAATGTAGATGTTTGTGACAGCAATATTTGACAGATTAAGGATTACAAATCACTTTGACAAACACCCACTGAATTTGAGGATGCTCTTTTAAGTCGCATCTCTTTTTAAGCAAAATGGTGTTTTAAAGTTTATTTTTGATCTGTTTCATTGTAACCATTCACTGCTTTTCCATCCATCTCCACGAAGCCTTGTTCCCCTACAGACCAAGGGGCAGTGAACTGTAGTGTAGAGAAGGAGCAAGCAGTTGAGGCAGTAATTCTTTACTTGAGTGCTGCAACAGAAGCCAACATAGCATGGGATTATACACTTGGTGAAACACTTTACATATAAATGTATTGTTTCTCCTCCTTGTACTTATTATATTAATTTAACTTTTGGATCCTTTAGCAGAGCTTTAGCTTACAGTCTTGAAAAGCTGAAACTTGAAAATTCAAAGAAATGCAAAGAAGGTGGTAAAATTGCTATTAACCACGGAGGGCTGAGGTTTGGGCATCTCTCTCAGCCTTTCAGGCCTATCACTCTCTTTGTGGAGAGCATTTTTATTTGAACTATGCACATGAACACCTAGCTGTTAATCAGAGTATGTGCTTCTCCCTAGTATATGATAACTGTATTACTGAAGTTTTAGATCTGAACTTGTGTTAATCAAGTAAACAGGTAGTCCTAGCACTTCTTTGTATGTTTGACTGCCAGGATACGTATTTGGAAAGTTGCAAAGTCCACTGGGTTTCAGTTGCTGCACTGAGTTTCCCAGTAGATAAAACGAGTAGAATTGGAACTGTTGGGACCTTAAAGAAAGCATTTCTGCCACCTCTTTTGTCTAAGTCCCTATATGTAAAGTGAGAATACTATTCATATTTTGTTTAACTGCTTGAGATCAATAGGTAGAAAGTGCTGTGTAGTATTACACAGTAGAACTGAACTTTTTCTTGTAGCGTTTCTCTTAAATCACCTTCTTTGTCAATTCATATGTATGTTTATACATGTATCTGTGTATACATACCCAGAGGAGAGTGTAGAGGCTGCAGTGTCCCGATAGGGCTTTGTTTTCCTTTTAAGCACCTCTCATTTGTGCAATCTGCAGCCATTGATCTAGCTCTTCCCCATTTAACATAAGATGATGAACCAGGTCCTAGGAGGGTGGTCTGGAGGCTTCTGTCCCTCTCTGACCACGGAGTCACTCAATGAGGATTAAGGGCTCTGACAGACTCATGGCAGTGGATTCAAACCTGTCTGGGTCCTTGTTGCTGTGTCCAACTATCTCAGTGGCTCTCCCCTGAGGAAAGGATATGGCATGGCTCAGGAAACAGCTTTCAAACCTCTGCATTTTTCAGGCCAGCCTCTTCATTCCTCAGCTTGGCTTAAAGTTTGCTAGCATAGTTTCCAGTGCTGGAACCTGCTGTTGGAAAACAGAGTTTAGAGTTACTGGTAGGGTGCCATGAACATGACTCCTGCCTGGAGGTCTTTCCTACCCTGCAATGACTAGGAGCTTTCTAAAGAAATTCACTGCCTCCAGCAAACGAACCCAGCTTGGGAGCTGCGCTGTGACCTGAGCAACAGCCAGCAGGCACTAGAGTCGCCAATAATCTGTTTTATTTATCACTTACCCTCTTCCAGCCAGTATCCCAACTTATGGTCCGTGAGTAACAGCACCATCACGCCGGTGTCTCAATCAAGCGGCATGTCCAATGGCCTGAGCTCCCAGTTTCTCCGCAGCTCTCCAGCGCACTACACCACCCTCCCACACCCAATCCCGGCCACCTCCTCAGCATCCCCCCTGTATGACGGTGGGGCACCCACGGACCTGCCCGACAGCCAGTACGATGCCTCTGCACATGCCAGGCTCACATCCACATGGACGCCTGTTACCCCTCCTTCCATGTAAACCCTTCCTGTAAGACAGACTTTTTAGCTACTGAATTACTTTAAATGCTCAATCCTCAAGGAAGAGAAAAAGGAGACATGGAGTAAGTTACAGACAAATCATCTGCACTGTGTTGCATAAAGTGTCTACATTGTACCTCTTATAGTGAACAGTGCATCACTGACTTCATGTAGAGTTTACAGATCTGGTAAGCGTGCAATTCCGAGAGCAGATTCACTGCTTTTATTATTTTTTTATTATTATTTTTAAGTTTGATAGACCTAAGTTTTAAAACTTTTACTTAGATTCCAAATTTCTCAGTGTCCTGATATATTTGGGCCTGAAGTTTGGTATTGTTCTTATCTGGACAACTTTCTTGAGTAAGTTACTCCTTATTGTTTTTCAGTTATTTTTTATATTGCAAACTTAGCTATAGTCTTGAGACGACTTTTACTAACTGTTTAGTTAGAAGCATTCTGAAATATGCACAAATGTAGCTGAGGAGTGAAGTTTTTGAAAAAATCATGTGCACTAACACGTATTTGCCTTACAAATACGTTGTGTCCTTAACTGTATGCTTATTTCCTTGCTGCTGAATTAATGTTGAGACAATCTGCAAGAACTATATTCTTCCTATTAAAAACAGTATTAATGTTTGGTCTAAATCGTTTTACCCAAAAGACTCCTTTTAGAGGTAAGTTTTGCTGTTTGATCATATAGATTTCAAATACCTGTCAGCTTAGCTAAATATCTCATTTCAAACAGCCAGTGTCTAACAGGGAGTCCATCCAAAACCTTTGAGCCATTGAAAAAACACTTTTTTTTTTTTTTTTTAATGGTCTCTGGCTCAGGCCTTGAGAGAGGGAATTTAATATCTGGAGAATCATTCTAATTTATTTTATTTCAATATTGTACTCTGTTGATCTGTATTTATTACTTGCTAAATTACAACTTTGTTTTCTACATGTTAAGTTATGTAAATAATCCCTCTACCTATGGTGTACTCTTTTAAGACAATCATATGTGGGATATGTCACCCAATGGCACATTGAACAGCATGGATATAAGAAGTTAACTTATTCTAAGAGGGAAAGCTCTAGTTACCAATAATTTTGGGGAGAAGTGCAGATATACTAAGCTTTGAAATACACTGACTGCTTGACTTGCTGGAAAGATCAGGTCATGATAAAATACTTCCTTCAGAACTGATATTAAGTTATATGATCTAAACTTCTAATGCAGACTGACATACAACATTGGCTCAAAGAGTGCCCTTGGACATGTCTCTTTCTCCCACTGACTCTGGCAAATACATATTCTGGGGAAACTGAATTGTTTTGCCAAAGCCATAATAAATAACTTTTATAAAGAAGTGCCTAATACAGTGAAGCAAAATTCTTTATCAGGGAATTCCTTAAATAACTCATCAATATATGCTCATGTGCTACAGTGGCAGCTTCAAGATGAAAAAGCAAGTATTTGCCACCATTTTAGTCTTTTTGGCACCCTATGGGCAGGTCCCTGCACCTAGAAAGACTTTGGCAGGGCTTTCTCACCACAGAAGGGTTTGTGTGCAGCTGCAGGCTGCGGTCTCTCAGAGGTGCTCCAGCAGGTGACAGCACCAGAAGCAGATGGCTGCACAGCCTTGTTCTCTGTCAATATGTAAATATCGGTCTAAGTGCTCCTATTTTATTGTGAAAGTAAATTGTGTAAATGATGTAAGTGCATTGTTATTTAGACTATTTTGTAGAAGTTAGCAACATGTTTCATTGTGAGTTTTTATTTTCATTTGTATTTTGGATGTATAATTTAAATGGAAAAAAAGAGTAAAGATTCTTAAATAAACTCAATGCTTAATTTCCAGTTCGTGGGAGGTGGTTGGAAAGGTGAAAAAAATGCACATCAGACATATTGAACCTACAGTATGTTGGCCTTCCACGGAGCAGTTTCACAAATGGTTCCTGCTGCACAGTGGCTTCCGGCTGTGGGCGATGGGTCAGAGAGTTCTTCATAACCAAATTAATGATTATTTAGTCATGAAGAACTTAAAAAGATCTCTTGAGATACTACATTCTCCTTAACAGTTTCTCTCCCTTTCCCTCTCTGCTTTTGTTTCTGCCTCTTGCTCACTGACTGGTGTCCAGGAGTGGCAGCTGCAGCTGGTTTGGGTGAAAGCTCTTTCTCCACCATGACCAGTTTGTAGGGTAAACACTGGAGGTGGGTGAAAGCCTGACAGGTGCTGTGTTTTACCTTGGTGACCATATTTCCAGGGGTGTTTCTGAATAATGCCCCCTAGTAATAAATGTGTAAGTGCTGCCTGGTACACTCAGCTTCTGAAGGTGTCTATGTTGAGGGGTGACCCAGTGCTGCAGTGACCATATGCATAGCTGAGCAGGCAAATGTCACTTCTGAGAGCTGGCATGGCCAGTGGGGGAGCTCACCTTCATGCTTTGCCCTGGAGTGATGCCTTCAAAGCAGACACTTCAGGGGAAGAGGATGGTCAGTCTGCCATGCAGTGAAAGCAATAGGGACCCATCAAGTGTGAGAGAGATACTGGGTCCAAGGCTGTCAGATATCCCTTTGCATGGCTCCTGGCAGGCAGTCCACGGTGGAGGCTGTCTTTGGTCTAAAGAGGCTTGTGTGGAGGACAGCCCACAGCTGCTGCCCAGCACAGAGGTCAGCAGTTTCTCAGGTTCTTCACAGAATCACAGAA